GCAGGGCACACTGCTTCTCGTGAGAACACTGAGAAATAACAATGGAGGAACATGTCTTCCATGTGCATATTGACTCAGTTCTACAGGAAACTTGGTTAACCTCCAGAAGGGAAACTGAAAAAAAGAGAAGAAATTTAATTAAAGATAGCAATAAGGGATAGTTTAGTAGAGTTATGTTTCTACCAACTAAATGGGGACTATTTGAAGACATGCACAAATACATATGCATAATGCACCCCACACACCACCCCTCCAATTCTGTATCCAAGGAAGAAATACAGAAATACAATACAAGAGCCAAAAAGACTCAATTGAGCCCAAAAGGAAATGAGCTGAGCTAAACAGAAGTGCGTGGAAGGGCGGATGGCGTGCTAGACTGGGAAGAATTGGATCTAGAACAGAAACATGTCTGAAGTGCACAGTGGTGATCAGTGTAAACTGGAAACACAAACAGTACAAAGGTACAAAGGAATCATTTTAGTTTTTTAGATGGCAACAGTACACACAGTGTTAGGTGCTTCAGTTGAACAGGCTCCTATCCCGTGATGAATTTATTCTCTTTTATTAAGATAAATCCAAACAGAGGAAAAATAATTAAGTCAAAGAAAAATGAGGAGTGGAAGGGAAAAGTCTTCAAATATTGTAAGCAGCTTTTCATTTTACCACGTGTTAAAACTTTTACAGCACAAAATGAATCATATACTGAATCATATATGCAGAAAATGGCATTTTGAAAAGAGATTACTTTATTGAATGTATCATTATTTGCTGATGCATGAAATAATGAAAATGCTAACATTCTCCTTAAACAGGAGATCTGCTCAATCTCTTTAGACATGCCAGAGTTTCAACCACATTTCACTTAGACCTAGCAATTTTTCTAGCAGACAGCCTTTGCTGGTTGTCAAGTGCTATTAGTCAGGCATTGATTATGGATGTCCCAAGCTTATCAGCAGCACTGTGCAATAAGTGCTGTCCATTGAATTTTCAGCAAACAGAGAGAAAAAATTGTATAGATGGGTGTTTGATTGCTTTCCAAATGACTTTTAGTTAATGAGATAGTTTTGTTTGGAGGGTATGATGTTCTGGTCCTTGGGTTCTGAGTGGCATTACAAAAGATGCAAGCAGAAAGATCATCTAAACCCTGCTTCATTCTCTAATTTGCCAGTTTTTGAACAAGTTTTCCCTTGAGTGAAGCTGGGGAAGCTTGACAGAAGGGACTGCCGTGCATGTTGCTGGTATTCTGTTCCCTTTCTGGGTGAGCATGTGGGTACAGAGAGCAAATTGTTCTCAATACACTCAAGGTAGAGGCTGAGAGCCAGTTCTTCACTCGGCCTTGGTGTGCTCTGCCCAGGATGGGGTGCTCTGCCCAGGATGGGGTGCAGGCAGTGTGCTATGGCCCAGGGTATGTGACGGATGGCCCATGGTCAAGCAGCAGAGAAATGTGTGGGTGACTCCCATGGCTCCCTTTGGGTAGCCTCTCTGAAACAGGGGCTGTGTGGCAGTCCTGAGGCTGCAGGGACACACTGGCAATCCGAGAAAGACAAAAGTCATTGAAATGCAGATATTAATTAAATACTGATATGAATTCAACCTGAAGTCACTGACTTCAGTGCAAGATATCTAGCATTGCCTGATGTAGCACTGTGCTGTTGTCAGAGCAGGCTGCAGCATCAAAAGAGGCAATAATACAGTTTAGGAAAATGAATCAGAAGGATGATTTTCCCCAAGGCTGTAAATGGTAAAATGAATCAGAGCTCATTTAACTCAGAAGGGTGAAGTTCCTCTATCTCAATCCTAGGCTACAACAGTTGTTCTAGTCATTGTTCCTTAGTAATCTTGTATATTGATCATGGCTTTTGTAGCTTCTAATAAGCCTGTGTAATCTTGGCTTTTCTTGTATTGTTCTGTTCAATGAGGATCAGTGTACAAGTTTGGAATTATAATCAGTTCTGTTGTCTATGTCTGATTATTACTTGCCTGCTGCTTCTTCAACAGAGGCAGGATGGTTTTTTGGCTTTTGTGTCAAGGAGGATTGTGGGCGAGAGGGACACTGACCTGGTTGAATTTTATTTCAGGGGAAAGGAAGATCTGGAGATTTTTCTCTGAGTAATAGAGTGATTTAAGATGTCTGCAGGAAGTGGTGTGATGTGTTTTCCTCCACCCACTGTTCTGTACTCGAGCAAGTCATACCCGAAGCTTCAACATGTGCCCTGTGGGTGGGATCTAGTCATAGTAACTCAGCAGTGAGATACTTGGAGGGTCATGTTGTCCACTTGGTTGATCTTTAACAGCAGGAAGTGGGGGGCAAATGAGGGTCATTTTTTAAGGCTTTGAGGCAGCTATAGCATGAGTAATTTCAGCTGTGATTCACCTCCCTGATACTACTTGGACTGCTTGCCTGAAATTACACATTGCATGAACTTCTTATTACCATAAATAGGGATTTTCCAAAGACTTTTTTTCAGCACTTTCTTGTGCTTAACCAGTTGTTCAGACCTCATGTGAGGTAAAAAGACCCTAATCCTAGATAAAGACTAAGTAGTAGTGTGAGATAGTGAGTAGTCTGAGGGAACAGGCAGATGTATTTGCCAGGCTACTGTCCATGATACTTGCGAAGTCATGGCAGTCAGAAGTCCCAGGTGACTGGAAAAACAGAAACATTGTACCCATCTTTTAAAAGAATAGAATGGCAGCCCCTGGGTACTACCCAGCTGTTAGCATCACCTCTGTGTCTGGGGAGGATCACAGGACAGACCCTCCTAAATCACAGAACAGACACTCTGCTAAGGCACGACTGGGACAGGAGGTGACTTGGGACAGCCAGCAGAGCTTTACCAAGGGCAAGTCCTGCCTCACAGCCTATGGCCTTCTATGATGGAGTGACTGCATCAGAGGGTAAGGGAAGGGTCACACATGTCATTTATCTGGACTTCTGTAGAGCCTTTGACATGGTTCCCCTCAACACCCTTCTCTCTAAATTGGAGAGAGATGGATTTGATGGGTGGACTGTTAGGTGAATAAGTAATTGTGTGCAGAGGGTCATGGTCAATGGCTCAGAGTCCTAAAGGACCTCAGTGACAAGTGGTGTCCCTCAGGGATCCAGACTGGGACCAGTTTTATTTAGCATTTTCATTAATGACATAGATGAAGGGATTGAGTGCAGCCTCAGCAGATTTGTAGATTTGTAGATGACACCAAAGAGAGGAGTGATGCACTTAAAGGGTGGAAAGCCATCCAGAGGGACCTGGACAAGCTCAAGAAGTGAGTGCATGGGAATCTCATGAGGTTTAACAAGACCAAGTGCAAGGTGCTGCACTGGGGCTGGGGCAACCCCTGGTATCAACACAGGCTGGGGGATGAACAGATGAGAGCAGCTCTGCAGGGAAGGACCTGGGGGTGCTGGTGGGTGAGAGGCTGGACAGGAACACTTGGAGCCCAGAGAGCCAAGCACGTGCTCTGCTGAGACCCCACCTGCTGTGCTGCATCCAGCTCTGGGGTCCCAGCACAGCAAGGACATGCACCTATTGGAACAAGTCCAGAGCAGGATCTCCCAGATGATCAGAGGGATGGGACACCTGTCCTGCGAGGAAAGGCTGAGAGAATTGGGATTTTCCAGCCTGGAGAACAGGGGGCTCCAGGGTGACCTAATTGCTGCCTTGCAGTACCTGGAGGGAGCGTGAAAGCAAGATGGTGGAAGACATTTTACAAGGGCATGTGGTGATAGGACAAGAGAGAATGGCTTCAAAGTAAGAGAGAGTAGGTTTGGATTAGATAGTAGGAAGGAGAAATTCTTTACTGTGAGGTGTTGAGACACTGAAAGAGGTTTCCTGGCGAAGCTGTGGGTGCTTCATCCCTAGAAGTGTTAAAGGCCAGGCTGGATGGGGCTTTGAGCAACCTGGTCTAGTGGAAGCTGTTCCTGCCCATGGTTGCAACTAGATGATTTTTAAGGTCCCTTCCACCCCAAAGCATTCTGTGATTCTATGATATTGGACTAACTGTGCTAATTATCCCACCTGCCTCCCTTGCCCTTCTTCTCAAGATGTCCTTTATAAGCGCAGGCATAAAAGTCCAAAGTCATAAAAATCTGAAATGGAAAGGTATAGAAACAGAACATGGAATTCTCAAAATATCAAAAGATGGTGCAAATGGAATGATTTACTCAAGACTGTAAAAAATTGCATGTCTGTGTCAGGAAAAATTGGACATTGATGACTAATTAGTCTTTTGTTTATGTGGCTTCTGAAAAAAATGTTGCCGACTTCCTTCTTTGATAATAGGTTTATAAGACCAGTCATCTGATAATGACAAAAGTAATTTGTAATTTACAGAACATTTTTACAGTTTCCTTCACCTGAAACAGATATACAGAGTAATAATTATTATAGTCAGAGGTTCACATTAGAAAAATCCACTTGCAAGTAACAAACACGAATGGATTTTGCATAGATGTAAATTACTTTAGTTTAGAAGCTCAGTTTGACTCCTCTTTTTCACAAAGCATTGGGTTATGTCTGTTTTACCCTAGTTTGTCATAATTTCTGAAACATTACCAGCGATAATTCAAAAATTGCTGTAACTAAATTCCCTGGAGTGCACATAGTTTTTGAAAATATCTGTTAGCCTTTGCTGATCCATTCTCCTCTATGCCCCCGTCCTATTGTTAAAAATAATTTTGTTAGATGCTGGTTAACAATTCTGTTTCTAAAGACTGGAATAAAACCCAACAGTAAATATTTCAGCTATCTTTATATAAATATAAATATAAATATATACCACATAAACATATAAATTTTATCTTATATATATTATATATAAAACATATATAATATATAATATATGTTATACATATTGTATAATATAGATACTATTATTATATATTATATTATTATTATAGATTATATTATCTAAATTCTATATTATAAAAACAAATATATATATTTGTGTTTGTGCTTCATATGTATTTGTCTTTCTTTTCCTTTATTTATTTTGTGTTAATAGAAATATCTTTCATTGCCTTTAATGGGTCTTTCTACTTGATATCCTTCTAGAATCAGAATGGTCTGGTTTGGAAGGGGCCTTTAGAGGCTCTCTAGCCGTGCAATGAGCAGGGGCCTCTTCAACTAGGCCAGGTTGCTCAGAGCCCCATCAAACCTGACCCTGAATGTTTCCAGGGTTGGGGCATCCATCACTTCTCTGGGCAATCTGGGCTAATGTTTTATCACCCTCATCATAAAAATATTTATCCTTGTATGTTGTCTGACTCTACCCTCTTGTAGTTTAGAACCATTGTCCCTTGTCCTGTTACTACAAGTCCTGATTAAAAAGTCTGTCCCCATGTTTTTTGTAAGTCCCCTTTAGGTACTGAAAGGCTGCAACAAGGTTTTTCCAGAGCCTTCTCTTCTCCAGGCTGAACTATTCCAAATTTCTCATCCTTTCCTCGTAGGAGAAGTGCTCCACCCCTCTTGTCTTGTTTCTGTGCTCCAACAGAAGCACCTTTTACACCATAATTCTTCTGATTAAACCCAAATATCATTGTGCTCTTTCTTCATTCTTGGTGGTGCACCCAAATTTCTGCTTTCCTCTACTTCTTTTTTCCCTCAAACTTGCTCTAAGGGTATTATGCTTTTCCTTCCTATTTTATGTTGTTTGGCCTGTCCCTCGTCTCTTCTGCTGCTCATTGCTTCCCTACCTTCTTGTCTGACCTTGTGCTTCCAGGCTTTGTGAAACAGGATCAAACAACCTGACAAACCTGCAAGTGTTGAAGGAGGCTTAGCATGTGAATTTTAAGGCTGGTGTTTGTGTAGATAATGACCTGAACCAAATGCTAAACTGAAACCATCCCAGGTTTCTGATTCCAAGATTTGCAGGACAGTTGAAGTCCTGCAATGACATCCAAGTGTCTCAGGCCTGTCTGCACTGTATGACAGGTGCAAGGACAGATTAAATAGCAAGAGATCATGCAGGCACACAAGAATGCTACACTCCCTGTTAATGGAAGTGGGTGCTTTGTGGATGAGACAAGCTGGGTGCACAATGGTTGCAAATTCCAGCAAGGAAATTCTTTGGTTCAGTCCCATTTGTCTCTGCCAAAATATGTAGGCTTAGTTGCAGGCAGATTTCTTACAATGAAAATTGTAGCAGTGTTCACTGAAACTGAAAGGACCCACCTGGGCTCCATGCTCCCACTTGTCCAAGGTGAAGGGGCTGCTGCTGCCAGAGGCTCTGGCTGTTCCTGTGCCATTGCCAGCAGGTAGCACTTTGCACTGAGCTGCCCCGTGCTTCATGGTGCAGGGCAAGTCATGTGTTTGTTAGCAGCTAAGGCACACAGGAGTTGGGAAAGAAAGGAACTGTTGTTGAACTCTCCAGTGAGTAATAAAGTTGGCTTGTTTAAACCATGAAAAAGTGAGGCTTTCTGAAGCTCTTGGCTCTGTTTCTAATCCAGGAACAAGAGAATTGTTTGGCGCTCATGTAGATGGAGAGAGTCTTCTAATTTACTGCCAAGACTTAGGCTTAGATGGGTATCATCTAAAAGATGTGGGCATATAGAAGAGAGAAATATTGCCTGGAAATGACTGCAGACTCGTGATACTGAAGGTGTTACATAAACTATGATTTAAAAAAAAAGTCACACAGCTGCACTATATCTGTATTAGAGCTGTCTAAAAGAAATGCCTGTGTGTTCCTGTTCATAACTGCTTTCAGCTTAATGATAGTCTGCACCCCAGATGTTTTTCATAGAGCAACTTTTTAAATGTTTCACTTCCCTCTTTACAGAAGTGGCCAATAAGTAATGAGAGACCTATTTGTCTTTTCTCTTCTATACCCTGCATCACCTTTCCTTCATGTTCCACTTTTTCGGACAGCTTGTAAAGTATTGTGTCATATCTTCCTAATGACAGAGTGGGCTCTTGCACACCCATTTGTTTAAACCTGCTGGTGCATTCTTTTGATACCAGGTTTGTTGAGAAAATCCTACAGTTTCACTCCCTGGCTGTGCAGAGCTATATTTGGTGTGCCTGGAGCTGGGGAAAAGTTGAACTGCCTCTGTATTTCCACTTGGCTGCTGAGTCTGTCCTTAGCCAGGCATGAGTGGTCAAAGGGTGCAAAGGCAGCCCAGAGCCCACACACTGAGGAGGCCGAAACAAGGGAAGGATTTCCTGCCTCACTGTTGCCACTGACCAGAACAGCTATTGCACAAGAATTTGGATCCTTCTTTTTCATCCCCATCTTGGAAACTGGGGAGGGATTGACAGCACAAGGCAAAGAGATTTGTTACAGCCAACCTTCTCTTCCTGCCCCTTCGAACACCCGAATCCAGCATTTCCTCCAGGAGCAGGAAATGTTGCTGTAATCATAAGTGTATATTATATTACCATAATATTGTATCAATAAGGCTTTTGCTGCCTCCTTCACATTCTGCATTCTGGCAAGACTCTTAAACTAAGCAGAAATTATTTTACTTATTACAGAGAATGATATTCTCTGTATGAAAACACAATTTGATAAAAACATTTAGAGTTCTTAGAGTAAAAGAAACATTTTCAAAAAACACTGCAGCTGTAGAGTACATCTGCTTTTCCTGATACTGTGATCCATAATGACTGAATGAAACTCAGTGCTAGACATATAAAGACAGTTCAGAATTTTCAAAACTGTCAGCAGCTTTTGAATTACTATTTGGTGCTATTGACAGGAGCTGGACGCTGGCTGGGCACTGTGCTGGTAGGTGTGATGACAGGTCTCAGATTTTAGGTATTTTAGACAATAACTAAGGTGTGCCAATAATCCTGTGCAGGCAAACCCTTACATGTAAAAGTCACCAAATCATTATACAGAAATGTTATGAAATACAAACTCAGACCTGGAGCTCTGGATTGAAAAGGTGGGTTGGGGTAAGAGGGTTATCAAACCTGCCTCAGCAAAGATTCTGTGCACTGCCCTTGTCTACAAATGGAAGAGATATGTAGTGGCTATGAAGCCTTGGAGAAACTGCAAAGTGTTACAGGGGAGCTAATGGCCCCTAGGTATCAGTGTTTGGGGAAATTTGTACTTAACTTTAGTGATTGATTTCTGCGGTACATGTCAGCACTGCTAACATTGTCATGTTTATTCCAGAATGGAGGTTATGGCAATCTCCTGGAGCAAACTTCAGGCTGAAGCACAGGTACCTGTGCCTGGGTCCCCTCACAGCATTTCTCCTGCTGAGCTTGATGAATGAGCGCTAACATTGTGACAGCCACAGTGGGGAGTGTGAGTCTCTTAAACCCCAAAGGAGCTGCTGAGTCTGAGAGGTGGAGGAGAGCAGAGTGCCAGACTTGAGCAGTCTTTCACACAAATTGCACTGGGCAGTGGAGTTGAAAGTTTTGAGGGAGATGAACTTACCTTGGCCTATTGTTTCATGACTGAGAGTTTCCTGAGCTCTCAAGGATATTTCCACCAAAATCAGGGCTGATGTCCCCTCTGTTGGATATTAAAAGTAAAGGGATGAAAACCACATCCCAATTCTTATCTCTGTGTTTGCCGTGAATTCTGTGGAACTATGCTGGTTGAAGCTAAAAAATTAAATTCTTTGCAGGTTTGATCACTTATTTCAGCCAGGCAATTATTTTCTGGCTTAAAGCAAATTCTTTTTTTCAGTTTCCACAAGAGTAAAGCCTATCTATCACTATTTTAAAGAAAACCTGTATGTATTAAAAAAAATTATTTGACAGTAACATCCTCAAATGCTAAAGCTGACAGTAATTTTACTGTTGAGTGGTCATACTTTTGTAAGTATTGCCTTGGAAGAAATTTTATGTTCCTAGATGGGACAGAAGATGACAACAGAAATGCAAATTAGCATAGCAAACAGGAAAAAGCAGCAAGGCCTTATCTTTAGCTAGTGCTTCTTTTGAATCCATAGTACCTGAAGCTGTGAAAGGAGTACACAAGAGTACACATTGTTAGCCTTACACACGTATACCCAACATCCCTGAATCTTCTGAGGAGACATTGAAAGAAACACAGTCTTGCTGTTCTGCACCACCAGGTAAAACTGCATTCCCTTCAGATTAGGAACAGTTTGCTCTGCTGTTCTCCAGTGCTGAGCATCTGTGCCCATGTGAGTATACCATGAGGTGAGCAAATGCTGGGTGGGGCATTTCATTGTTCAGTTGAGGGTTTCATCACTGAGAGCTGGTCCAGGCTTGACCTCGTAGAACTGAGTGCAAATCCACTGTCAGCAGTGGTTTTGGTGCAATAAATTGTTATAGTATAGTATAGTATATCATAGCATAGCATAGCAATGGCTTCTGTGGGTACGTGTTTGGATTATACCAGATTCTTCAGGTGAAAACAATTACATTCATATTCAGTGAAGATGAAAGGAAAGCTACAAATGAATCAGTCATAAGTGTGTGGGTTTTGGAGTTGATGGCAAATAAGGAATATTTAATAGCATATTCTCTAGAAGTGAGACTATGAAGATGCCCTGTTACCAGAGTTTCACCATGTCCTTCCAACAGAGGAAGACAGCTTGCTTTCAGGATTGTTTTTACAAGTAACTGTAAGAGAAAGTGCTAAAAATTCCCTTTTTTTTTCATCCTGCTGAAATTGAACTGCATATTACAAGGTATCTTGTATGTAAAGGGAAATTTAAGAAATGGAAATTTATAATCAAGAGTTTTGTGCACCCTACGTCCTCTGAGGAAGTCTGTGTGGATTGCTGGTTTACCAGAGACACCTTTTCCATCACAGTCAAATCTGATTACTGCTTTTCTGCCCCATCTGTAAACCAGATATGATATTTCTTCACATTTTAGATACCTCCAAAGCTAACACAACAAATATTTGTAACTTGCTTTGTGATTCTGAATCACATAATTTTCTGGCACTTTTCTGTTATGTACTAGGAGTTATGTGAATCTTGATTTCCCAAATAGGCTTTATCTTTATCAAAGTTTTAGAGCTAGGAAAAGGCAGGTTTCTGAAAAATGTACTATATATTTAACAATTGTATACCTTCTAAAGATTTCCTTGTGTTTTATCTTCAGGTTATTAACATCCTGCAGCAAGTTGTCAGTTCAGCCTAAAGGTTTTTGGAAGAAATAAACTCTACATGAAAACTGAATGTAATTAAGTCTTACATTCAGGACCCTGATGAGTGATACAGAGGGAGAAGTAGAAGATGGTGAATTTCACAGAGAATGTGACTGAGAAATGCAATATTAATCATGAAATCCACGAGACATTATCCCCTGTGGTGTACATATTTGTGTTCATATTAGGCTTGCCAGCAAACTGCCTGTCCCTGTACTACGGCTATTTACAGATCAAGGCTAAAAATGAATTAGGTGTCTACCTTTGCAATTTGACTATAGCAGACCTGCTGTACATATTTTCTTTGCCTTTTTGGCTACAGTATGCTTTACAGCACGACAACTGGACCTACGATGAGCTGCTGTGCAAGGTGTGTGGCATCATGCTGTACGAGAACATCTACATCAGCGTGGGCTTCCTGTGCTGCATCTCCATCGACCGCTACCTGGCCGTGGTGCACCCCTTCCGCTTCCAGCGCTTCCGCACCATGAGGGCTGCGGCCATCGTCAGCAGCGTCATCTGGGCCAAGGAAATCATCACCTGCAGCTTTGTCTTCACACACGGCGAGATCAGCATGGATGCTGAGAGCCACCTGGTGTGCTTTGAGCATTACCCCATCAAGAAGTGGGAGCACAATGTCAATTACTACCGCTTCTCTGCTGGCTTCCTTTTCCCCTTGTTTCTGCTGGCCTTCTCCTACTGTGGGATTCTACGAGTTGTTCACAAGAGTCCTGGCACCCAAAAGAAGAAGAAAATCCAAATTAAAAGACTGGTATCAAGCACTGTTTTCATCTTTTTAGTCTGCTTTGGACCATACCACATCCTACTTGTAGTTCGTAGCTTGTTGGAGAACAGCTGCTCGTTTGCTGAGAAAATATTCAATGTTTACCATATTTCTCTCCTGTTAACCACTTTTAACTGTGTTGCTGACCCAGTATTGTACTGTTTTTCCAGTGAAAGCACTTACCAGAACTTCATCAAGATGAGAGACTCTTGCCTAACATGTTTAGGCCATTTGAGTACTGAGACGAAGGAATCCTATCCACTAAACACTACTGAAACTCCCAACAGAAAACAGCATGAACAACAGCCAGGGTTATTACAAATACCACTTGATGATGCTGGAATGAAGGACTGCTTCACAACTAATGCAGACAGCCTATAGCATTAATCAAAAGGACCTTTATCCTACACCTGCAGCTATGGCTGTGTTTGTGGATCTGTCTGAATTATTCATGCATTACAACAGTGTGACCTCCCAAAGGCTTATGAGCAATGCTGTACAGTGGAGCTGTTTCTAGAGGTGCTTGGACCCTGGCAATAGTGAGGAAAGTATGTGCTAAGTCAGTTCAGTTATAATCACGTATCTCTTGTGCTGCCACTTAAAATCTGTTTGTCTTGATGACTGCACTGACTGGAATAAGCCAGTACTCACGGTGTGCAGTTCTGGTGAACTCATCTTTAGCTGCCTCTGTTTGCCCCTGTAGCATCTAGAGAAAGTAATTCTCTACAAGCTGTCATCATCTGTTGAAAAGGTCAGAGACAAAAAAAACATTAATGTCCCCATATACTTTTAAAAAGAAAAATCCCAACAAAACACTTCTGCAACATCTCTGTAACTCTCTGAAAAAAACTCCTTCTGCCAGTTTCAAAGCCTGCAGAGACCATGCCAGAACCAGATTCCTAAAACAATCAGTCTGATAGTGTGAGACATTGTGGGAGAACATGCACAAGGAGCTCAGCACCTGCTGAGACCTTCAAGGCTCTTATTTCACTGTTGAGCCTCAGACTGTTAAACCTCTTTGTAAGGCTCCTAGAGACTCCTGGAAGTAGGAGAGACTGGGCTCCAGTGAGTGTCTATAACTTGGTTTGTCAACTCAGAAGAGAACAAGAGATTGGTAGTATGTGAGGTACTTTGGTCCCATGGGCTTCTCTGAGTCACTCTGTTCAAGAATATTTATTTACATCTAGATTCTACTACACCTTGCTAAGGTTTTGATTGTGTCCTTTACAGTTTGTGTGTCTTGTGCAGCACAGACCATGTAGGCAATTACATAACAATGCATTTGTCAGGGAAACTGTTGAATGAATTCTGTTTAAACCGTGTTTTTGCTCACAGATAACATAGTTGAGGGTTGGATCATTGTTCAGTAAATACAGTATCAGAAATATGATGTATGAATGATCTGTGTCCTGGTTTAGACAGAAACAAACTATAGGAGTAAGTGGAGAATAATGGCTTTTAAACACCTGGGAGTTGTGCTCCTCAGTATTGTTTCTACCACCCCCTCCTCTCTAGGTTCTTTAGGGTTTTTTTGTTACACTAATGATTCCTGCGTGACTCTTCTTTGACATCTGCTCATCACACCTCCTTTTACCTGCAGCTGTTACACCATAAATATTGCCTTGTCCTTTCAATTCTCTGGTTTCAAACCTTCCTTGAAACACCTCTCTCTCTGCAACCCAGAGCTGATAACTTCCAGCAGTATAATCAGTTCTGTTTCTTTGGTTTGCTTTTGAGTCCAAAGATTGTCTAGACAGATGGTTTACTCCTGCTATTTGAATATGTCATTGTAATACAGCCTTCCTAGTAATCAGATTCCAAAAGGAATATATTCTAACAGTTTTCTGGAAACCACCTTGAGAGTGCAATATTGGATACAATTAGTGGATGTGTTTAATAAAGAATGTTTTTATAATTTTCTTTTTATATTTTTTCACACCATGTTTGAAATAACTATCTTTAGCTTTGGTGCACATTTTCTATTTGTGAGACTACAGATCCTCTCCTCCCTCCTCTTGCAGAAAGGATTCATGTCCTCAGCACAAGAGGGGATTAGGTTTGCTTAGGTTAACATTTGGTTTGTTTAATTATTTTACATTTCTTTATACTTTGACCACTCAGCTGGATTAATTAACTTTACATCTGCATTTTTTTCTCCTGACTATTAGCACTGTTTAGCTTTATTTTCTCCTAATCTTTCATCTCCTCTGCTGTGTATTCCAAGGGGTTTGTAGGGCAGGGACCCCCTCCCTGGAGTGCTGACCTTGTGCATTGTCAAGCACCAACTCCTTGGGCCCCCCACGACTGCCAGGCTGCGAGACACACGTGGTTTGTTCTAGGATTAAATATTTGTTGTTGTGTTTATGTGTTGCTCCTTTACAGTTCCCCATGCTGTTTAAATTAGACAGCTGGAATGCAGAGCCTGGTGTACTACATGGAATTGTCATCTGAGGGATTCAGGCTCATTGGAGATGGAACTTTGATGTGGTCAGCTTTGGTCAGCTGCTGCAGTTTAAAATCAGATGGAAACTTGTGTAACACAGTGCAGCATTCTGCTCCAGTTCTCAGCACCTAACCTGCTAACCCAGAACAGAAAGGAGGGATTTTTTCTTCTTTTTCCCTTTTTTTTCTTGAAGCCAATATTTTATCAATTCTTTCTGTATTGTAACTGTTTGGCTTAGGCTGCAGAACTGTAACCAACAGAGCAGGAAGGAAACTCCCACTCACAGCTTTTCCTTCCCTCTCAGTAAAAAGACATTCACTCAAGGGTCCTGCTAAGGTTGCTAGAGACATGCTACACGTGCTACTGAAGTAAATGCCGTGCTTGGGATGCACACAAGAAAGCATTTTAAAAGCACACACTCAAGAAAAAGAAAAAAAAAATTAAATTTTGTATTTCTTAATGAAAACTGACTGTTAAGACTTGTATTTTGGGGTGAAAAAAGAGCAAAAGGTTACTAAATGAAAATTTTTTTTGAAAATATCCATTGCACCTGTTAGTGTAACATGTCAGTAGCACAGAAAGAATAAAATCAACTGTTTCTTTTGAAAGGATGCAAATTTCATTCTGCGAGTTCTGTGCAGCAGTGAACACATGCCATCCTCCAGAGCTACTGGCTTTGGCAAAAAGTTCAAGCATTCTTATGAAATATTTTACTTAATACTTATAGTTAGGAGAGTTTGGAGACTTCTAAAGGAGATATTTTCTAATTGTGAAACTTCCAAGATACTTTTCTAGAACATCCTTTGAGAAGTTTTTAGATAAAATGAATCTAAAAAAAGAAGACTGATCTAGAAAATGAACATTGGGATCTTTGGTGAACCTGAATGTCTAGCAGAAGTCTGGCATTAAGATTTTTTCTGTCATGTGTTCTACTATTCTGTGTCTTTAAAGGCCCTGTATCCTCAGGGACTTCAGGAGATTAATGTTCAAAATACGCTGGTGTTTGTGGTATGAAATTATTTTTCTCATTCTGAAAAAGTTAAGTTGTTTGTCTTGTATTGAAGAAGGAAAATAAAACTCACCTGCCAGGAAGGAAAAGAGATATAAAGTGTTGCTTGCTGCTGAAAGTCCAACTGAAGGCAACTTCCATTTCATGACAGGAAAAGCACCAGTGCTCCAGGGGTGGTGTCAAATGCACCCCCCTCTCTCTGCTGGCAGGGCTGACAGCCAGCAGAACTGCAGTCCTGCCACCCACCTGCAGTTAAGGTAAAATTACAGCTTTGAATGACAAAAGCTGGGCACAATTCACAACCATTTGTCATGAACTGCTTCAGTGTCAGTAATCCTATGGGATAGAATTCAATGTTACTGCCCTTGGTCTTGTCAGGAGCTGAACTTCTACAACAGGAATTCATGCAAAAGTTTATTTACATAATGTTATGCTGAATGCAAATGTTTATTCATTTAGAATCATGCTTTAATTTCTAATGATTATTTTGTATTCAATTAATTTCTTTGTAACAGCAGGATACTCTGAAATGTCTACACATTTTCTCTACTATCCATAAAGTGGCAAAATATGTAAGTGGCAAATTACTAATATGACAGGGGGTAATGACACAGCCAACCCTCTACACAGAAGATCTGCAATGCTGTCCTTATTTTCATTAGTTCAGTTAAAATTTTCTCCTTCTCCCCTCACACTTCCACAAACTATCCCCCACAATAAGAACACAGTGTTTGAGAGGGGCTACAGGAAGTGTGCAGTGGAGCTCTCACTATCAAACACTGCAGTTTTGTTTTGAATCTTCTCTCTCTACTGTAGCTGTTTTCCTCACCACAAGTATTTTTAAATCCAGGTTGCTATGAAAGTTACTTCCTGTTGCAGTTATGAGGTTAGTAAAACAAGAACAGCAGTGCAATAATATCTCATTGTAATTTCATGCTTTCTTTGTAAAAGCCAGATCACCTCTTATTGTATAATATCATTTAATATTAATTTTCCATTATAAAATTACAAAATTCCATTTTCCATTATAAAATTACAGAAAAGAAAGGTAAGCCAAGTGGATGATGATATCCTCCTCTTGTTTCACAGAGATGTTGTAAGGATAACAATGAAAGACTGTGTGTGGTCAAGACACCAGAGATGAAAAGCCATCTTTTTCTGATCTTTTACATCTTGAGAGAGCCTCAAAAATGAGGAAATGACATGGGAGCATCTCTTCATGTAGAAATCACTAGGGGCAGTCAGTGCTGTGCCTCCTGCAGCAGCTTTTCAATCATCAGTGAGTGGGTGCTGTGGAAGGGCAGCCCATCCACCTCCATCTCCAGACTGGCAGTTTTGCCACTGCGGACCCCGAGCTGCACCAGTGCTTTCAGAAGCTTTTCCTCCTTGAAAAACAAAGAAACAGAGTACAATTAAAATTCTGAATCAGACAAGGTCAGTCATCAAGATCATTGTTTTAATTCTGGGAGAGACTGACCATATCCTTCATATTTATTTTGCCATCAAGTTGCAAGTACTATCTTGTCCCAAAGAATATGTTTAGCAGCTGGAGCTCAGGGAATGTCAGATGGTTTATAATCTTAACTGCTACTTAACCACTGAATATTACTTTTCTCCACACTGCCTCCAACAGAACATTAGTGTCAATTCAGAAACATCATTTTTTTTGCTTGGTTTCAAGTTCCTATATTCCTAAATCAGAATCAGAGGAACCTCCACCCAAAGTATCTCAAAAGTCCATCTGTGGTCTCCCCAGCCAGGCAGCTGGCTGCAGCTGCATTTTTATAGAAAAAGACAGAAGGGAAGGAGGGTGCACCAGGAAAAAAGGTTACAGAGAGCACCTGGATAGGCTGCACATTCACTTTCCTCTCCTGCAGCTTCTCTGATCTCTCTGTGCTTTGGCACTCTCTTCTCTTTTCATTTTTGATTTTATGAGAATTCTGGTTGCTTAGGGAAGGAGTGGGGAGAAAACAACCTCGGAAATTGTGCTTCCTTGGCATGCTCTGAACTAGCATAGGCTTTGTTTAGAACTACAGTTATTTTCTTGCTTAACTAATATGAGCAGATAACAAAGTGTGTTCCAAGTTGAGCTGCAAAAGTACACAGAGGGAACAAAATCCTTTTTTTGTGAGCTATGGGCCAGTTAGCATTGTGAGATGAAAAGACGGGATAAAATGAGCTCTGAAAAAAACACAGGAACAGTGAAATTTGAAGATCTGGTTTCAAGTGAATGTATGCCTGGCATAAACTGCTCTGCTTTTCATTTGCCATGAAATGTACACAGTAAGACTTCCTATTTTTTAGCATTTACTATAGTGAGAATTTATTCCTTGAATTCTGTTAATAAAAGTCTAAGAAAACTAAAAACCTGGTCACTTCTTAGCTTTCCCTATGCCAACCCTGTGATAGGTTATATAAGACCTTGAAACACTCACCTATCTATCTTTTCCTCTTTTCCTTTTCCTTCCTCTTTTCCTCTCTTTCTTTACTAGGAATACCCTTTCTGAGCCTTGCCTACTGTGCCACTTCCATTTCCATGCAAATTGCTACTGCAACATTCCTACCAGTGTCCTTGACAAGGAGTTCTCTGGGTTTGAACACTTCACATTTTACATAACCACACAATAACCTAGCAGAAGTTCTCTATCTCCTGCACACACATGAATGATGAAAAAAAGGAATGTTAAAATATCTAATTTTCTCTTATCAAATGCTAGAATTTTTTCTAGGAACACTTCTAAACCACAAAGAATACAGTAGCTGTGGATCTGAATTGAGACACAATATAGTTGTATTTCACCTAATGGTAAAATGGCCAAAATATAATCATTTCTGAATGAAGCAAAGCATGCCCTGTGTGATCAATTCAGTTTAATTTTGTAACCTGCTCTCTGAATGCACTTTCTAAAGATGTGTCTTTTATTTCCTGGTAAATCATCCTAATTCTTAGCTGCAACAAAATTAAATGAGGCTCTGGTTTTCTACTAAAGGAAAAATATGCAAAGTTACATGGTGTCAGCAGTGACACAGCTATTTAAGGAAATTATCTGGATACACTACTAGCATAAATTGGCTACTTTATAATTAATATAATTATAAATGCACATCAGTTTATATCATATGAATGATCATATACATAAATGCAAATATATACAACTGATCTTTCTGCACAACAGAGGTTTCTCTTAGCACTAAGTGTATCTAAAAGGGCAAAGGAGATCTCTCCTGTCACAAAAGAGGCACCTAAATTGGATACACAAAATGTAATCCCTAATATGAATAGTTTGTGCTACATATTTACATATTAGAGCTCTCTGATCTGCATATATGAGGTAAAAAAGTTTGCTTGTTTAATACTACATAACTATGCCTGATAAACCATAGCCTGCCATAAAATAGCTGTACAGTGCTGCAATTTGACCACAGCTTTCTCTTTACTAAATAATTATGTTGGGAGTGGGTAACTGGAAAAATAATCATATTAATAGAAAAATATCTCATTAGTTTGTGCTTTACTCAAGGAGGAAAACTTCCTTAGACAAAGCTAATTAAGCACACTAAAAATATGTCACACCTTTATATATTTATAACATAATTCATATTCTTATAGGTAATAATTTAAAAATAATACTATACAGCTAATATGTTGCCATTAATAAACAGTTCAGTAAAAGAACAAATGCTTGATATATGAACCTCTTTGTGAGGTGCAATGAAATGCAGAGTTGACTGTAGGGTGTTCAGCATTAGCTACATTTGGATATGTATGAATGAATTAATTTCATTACAGTCACTTTGGTGTAACAGCACTATGAACATCTGAAAAACCAAGCCAATACCATAATCAAATTATTAGGTAAGCAAAGGTAAAGGCAAGCAAAGATTGTTTAGGTCCAGCTGTTTCCTGCTCCTGCAGTTCTCAGCACAGAACAAATGCTTTGCAGCATCTCACTAAATTGTGTGGAAAGGCTCATCCAGGAACTCAGCAATCTCAGTTTGCTGCTCAGTGGGAGGGAGAGCTCTGCACTTCTGGGGTTTGGCAGTGCAATCCTGACACTGTTTGAACACCAGCCTGAAAGGAAATAATGTTGGTGTTTCAGAGGAAGTCTTCACTTAGTGATTATGACCTACAGCATTCATGGAAGTGCCATTTTTTGAAGAAAAATACAACACACTATAAGAAAGCTGCCTGGTGCTAAGGGACTCCTCCTAATGTCCTCTTTCCAGTTACAATCACAAATACAAACACCAAGATGGATCTGTGTGGTATTGCTCTTTGTCTCATTAGGGCAATTATTATAGCATTAACTGAAGCGGAATTTTGCAGAAAGTAGCCAGATAAACAGAAATGGTCTGATTTTTTGTACTAATGGAGTATGTGAATACTAATGTATTCAATCTTCTGCACTGTTCATTGTTGTGTGATTTATAATTAAAGATATCATATTTTCTTGTCAGACATTTTGTCATTTTCTCTCCTCCACAGAACTGTTTCCATTAATTTTATCTCAACAGATTTTAGTATTGCACTTTCAGTAGCCCATTATTGGATCATTAATATTCCCAGCTGTATAGCTTAGTAAAACAAAAACAAGGTTTTCCTGTACACAATATAACATTTAATTACACTGGCTCATTACCAGGAATTTTGATCACAGTCATTTTAGGATGCATTAATTTAAAGGTCAAAAATCAGTAGATGCAACTGGAAAAAACACTGAAAACTGAAAAATAATTAATCTGTTTTATAAAAAAGACTGCTGAAAAGGGCCATGTAAGCTTTGTTAAGCTATACAGCTATGCCAAGTGTTGGGATCAGTTTCAGTTTTATGACCTTTAGATGAAAAACTAAGATAGCAAGAATTAAAAAAAAAAAAAAAAGTGGGATCTACTCTAAAATACTTAAAATGTGCTTTGTTGGAATTTCATGCAGAATGTCCAATCATCTCAGGAGAAAAACTTCTTTGTTTTGGGCAGTAGCTATGGTAGATGGATTGCATTTTGCTTAGCATTCTTGGACATCACACACTTAATGGGTTTGTCCAACTCTGCTAATAAAGCGGAATCTTGAAATCTTGAAGCTCCTAATTTATTGCAAAGTTGTGGAACAAATCTTATTTAATCATTAGGGGTGTGTGTGTGTGTGTATAGACAGATTTTTTTTTTAACCACTGTCAAGTTAAAAATAGAGGCACGTGCTTTGCAGGATGAGCACAGATCAGAGTCATTTCTCACCCCTCTCAGTTATTTTACTTTTTCTCAGTCTGAAACCTTTGCATTCCCAGAATATCACACTGTACAGAGCTGCATTAGTCAAAACACATTTAAAAATATTCATGTACAAGTTTTTCTCCAACTTCAATTTAGAAACATTCAAAACTAATTGTAGAAAGGCTCCAGCAAACTAGAAAAGGGGGAAGGTACAAAGATCAGAAGTATGGAGTGGCTACTGCATAAGAACTGTGGCTTTTGATTTTGGAAGCAGACATCTAAAGGACACTACAACAGAGGGTTATAAAATCATGAATGATACTAAGGAAGCAAACAGGGGATTTTAATCACTGTATCTCTTGCATTGCCCATAAAATTGTAGCACTGTCTTCTGCTTGAAGCCATAAGACATGAACACATTCATACTGCAGGATTTTTATTTGCAATCTGTCTCCTTTGTGCAAAACAGCCTAAGCGCAGTGCGGCCGCTCCTTCACGAGGAACCCCCGAAGCACCCAAAGACCCTGAGAAGGTGAGGCCCTGAGCCAGCCC